GGAACAGGGAGAGGGAGAAGAAGGAGGAGGGGGTATAGGGAGAGGGAGAAAGAAGGAGGAAGGGGAATAGGGAGAGGGAGGAGGAAGGGGAATACGGGAGCGGGTTAGGAGGAGGAGGGTGGGGAAGGAAATAAGGAGGGTAGGGGGAAGAAGAAGGGGAATAGCGAGAGGGAAAGGGAAGAAGGAGGTGGGAAAGGGAAGGAGTATGGGGAAGGGGAATATGGAGAGGGAGAAGAAGGAGAAGAGGAAAAGAAGCAGGGTTAGGGAAGGAGGAAGGGAGAATGGGAAGGGAATAAGGGGGGTTGGGGGGAGGGTAGGAGGAAGTGGAAGGGAAGAAGGAAAGGGAAGGGAAGGAGGAAGGGAAAGGTGAAGAGGAAGGAAAGAAGGAAGAGGAAGAAGAAGGGAGAATAGGGAAGAAGGAAGGGCAATAATAAGAGGAGGAGGAAGTGAAATAAAGAAAAGAGAAGTAGGAAGGAGGGTAGGGAAAGGGAAAGAGAAATGAGGAGAGGGTAAGGAGGAACAGGAATAGGGGAGAAGGGGAAGAAGAAGAGTAAACATGGGGAAAGGAAGGAGCAAGGGGAGCAGGGAGAGGAGAAAAGGAATGGGAATAACGAGAGGGATGCAGGGAAGGGGAATGGGAAGAAGGGAAGGAAAAATAGGAATAGGAAAGGAGAAAAAGGAACCGAGAAAGGGGAAGAAAAGAAGGATAAGGGAAAAAGGGAGAAAGATAGTGGACAGGTCGAAGGGAGGAGGAAGGGGACAGGAAAAATGAAAAAAAATAGGAATTTAAAGTGGGGAAAGAGCAAGGAATAAGGAAAGGGAATAGGGAGACGCGAATGAGAAAATGGGATTAAAAAGAGAAGGGGAAGGGAAGGGGCGAGGAAGAAAGAAGGGAGATAGAGAGAAGGGAAGGAGGTAGGGAGATAGGGAGAAAGGAACGAAACAAAAGAATAAGGAAAAGGGAACACTGAAGGGGACATGGAGAAAGAGATAAGAGAAGAAAATGGATAAGATAAAAGGGGGATAAGAGAAAGGGGATGATAAAAGAGGGCATAAGAAAAACAAACGAAGAAAACAGAACTCTGCCGCCTTTTAACTCGGGCCGGAACGCGCGCCCGTGAGCGAAGGAGCGAGGAAGCGCACGCACGCACGCTCACTCGCTCACTCGCTCACGCACGCACTCTCTCCTCATTCACTCACCCACGCACTCGCTCGCTAATGCACTCACTCGCTCACATAGTCCTTATATAGGCCTTGCTCGCTCTCACGCACTCTCTCTCTCAAATTCACTCGCTCGCACTCTCTCATTCACGCACTCACTCACTCGTTCGCTAAGGCACTCACTCATGCACGCACTCGCTCGCTCAGTCCTTATATGGACCTTGCTCGCTCACGCACACACTCGCTCACATAGTCCTTATATAGACCTTTCACGCACTCTTCTCTCATTCACGCACTCACGCACGCACTCGCTTCCCACACGCACTCTCTC